GAGGAGGATGTGAAAAAAATACCAAAAAACCAAGAATAATTATTTTTTTGAGAATAAGAGGGAACATGACTATATAATAATGCATCCAAAATCCATCCCCATATGACAGTGGCAGTGGATGGTCTCATGGGTTCTTCTGTTCAAGCCAGGCTGGGGTGAATTGCTGTGCTAATGATACCTATGAAGTCACAGCCTATAGTCTAGTAATCCTCACATTTTCCATCTGAGTTGCTGGTGTGCCTGAGAAATGGATTTACCCACATTTCTTGGGGGTATTATTGCTTCTGAAGTGTAATGAGCAAATTTCCTGCAACATCAGAGAACGAACAGCCTTGAGGTAAGAACTCAGCATCCTCCTGTGATTCGGGGGAAACTCCAGCACATAAAGTAGAATCTTTTGATATGCATCTAAGGATCTTTTGGAAACAGCTGGGAAAGGATCCACTGGAGATAGCCAAAACTGCAGTACAGAAGAAGTAGCAAATCTGCAGCACCAGCCCAGTGAGTGGTGCACATCCGACCAAGTAGTCCCTGTCTTCTACTTTGGACTCTCTGTCTTGAACATTTAGAGGCAAGTTAAGCAAGATTTGCTACTTTGCTACCTTTCTGTCTCATTCAGAGAGAATCTGGTTTAGTCTTGTGTTCCCAACCTCCTGCTGGATAATGCAGCCTTTGGGGCTGTGGAAGTGTGAGTCAACGACCTGTACGTGTCTCAGGTGAAATCTGGTGACCCTCAGCTTATGGGTGCTCACAGAAGCATCATGGTGAAGAGCATCTCATTCCCTTTGCGTTGCCTCACAGTTCAGCTATGGTGTGAGAGCTGTCAGCTGCAGGAGTGAAGGGAAACAGTGTACAGGCAGCCTTGCAAATGCTGGCAGTGAAAAAGTAAGGACCTTTGGGGTTCGGTGACAGTTTCACAGCCGTTTTGAAGACATTAGGGGTATGCAAATGGCAGAGAGGTCCTATGTACCTCTGAGGATCTGGGCTCAAATAGAAGGTAAATAAAGACTCAGCAGGGATGTTGTCATCTCTCTGCCAGGATGCTTTAATATACACATTCATAATTTCTTTAGATAGCGCAATGATGGCTTCATTAGAAACATGTCTGTGTAAATAAGTCATTGGCCATGTCAGAGTTCTGATGGAAGGATATCATATGTCTTCTCCATGGACTAGCAGCTAGGTTTGCTTATTAGAACCTGCCTCCCTCCCCCCTTCCCCTTTTTTTTTTCCTTCTTTTTCTTTTATTTTTCCCATGAAACACACTTCCACAATATCTTGGCTTGCAGTCTTAATGAGAAATGACTGCTCAGATGTGTGATGGCCAGGGAACTGAGTCCAGAGGAGACTGGGACAGTTTGGTATGGTGGTTAATAATGGCCTACGAACCCAGAACACTTGAGATCACAGCTTGAGTGTCTGTCATAGCTGGAGAGGCCTCCAAACCATGAAATTCAGATTCTTGCATCCTGTCCTTCACTCCAGGGAGCATTGTGTGTTGCTTTTTGTTGTTCAAATGAGTCATGGGAGTGTTATGTTACCGGGAAAACATCTCTTCAGGGCTGGAAAGGGACTGGGGAGCTTTCAGACCCTTGTGAGTCACACTCAGGAGAGTGTTGCTGCCAGGTGAGAAGGAGACGCGACAAACTGGGATAAGCAGATGATACGTGTGTCTAGGTTTCACTTTTTGGAAGCACCTCTATCCCTACACTCAGTGTCCTACCATGACTTGATGACTTAGCTGAACCAGAGAGGAAGAGGAGCATTTCCACTGGCTGTCAGAGCCAGATTGGCAAATCTATCACAGTACCTGTGCTTTCTTCCATCGGCCTCATTTATTTTTGCTGTGATGCAATCCCCTTCACTTTTCATTTCGCCTAGCAGGAGGGTGCCTATGTAATATTCATGATGAGCTGGGCTCTTCTCCATGGGCTGTTCTTAGGCACCATAAATCAATGCCTTTCACTGCATTGCAGGTTGTTTTTCCCT